GAGTAGGTAGCAAATACCACCAGCCACCATTTCTTTTATGTGGAATGGGAGAGGTTCTTGTGGAAAGTGACAGCTCAGATGAGGCAGCCAGGTCAGAGGTATCATTTGCACATTACAAGCAAATGTCTTCAGCTGGGGTGTTGCCAGAGATTGAGGCAAAAGTTAAAGTAAGGGAAAGTGAGATGCGTGTGCAGTTCCCCCAGTCAAAAGCAGAGGAAGAGCTCCTCATTTGAGAGAGCTCTCCTGCCCCACCACAGCCTCTCCTTTTGCTCCAGAGCATGGAAGAAAGTCAAATTTTCCCTGGTTCAGGTCTACATTCCCAGCACCAGCCAATTCACTTTGCCTCTTGCAGGGGTTAAAAATTTCAGCCGGAGAATCACATTCAGTACATCTAACAGTCCTTGGGAAGGCAAACACTTCTGGTCTAACTCACCTGCTGAGAACTAGTGCACACTTCTCAGCCAGCTATGAATGAGCTACCATTTACCCAGACTGGCAAAATCTCCTATCTGCTGCAGAGACCACAATGGGCTTTGACCAGAATCAACAACCTAAGCAAGGCGATCAAATACATTTCAATTCTCCAAGACAGTGTGAGATGCCATTCCACTCATTGCACAGAGGAATTACAGTCCATCCTCATCTTCCTCTTCAATATAAGGAAAGTATATGGTTCTTTTCATTCACTGGGACAAAACTGAATTCTAACGACTGCAAAAATTATGGCGGGAATGGTCTCCTTATCTCACGTCCATATTCATTTTTTGTTCTTATTAAGAAATAAGGAAAGCTTTGGGACTTCCCAGATGGGTAGGTGGGATGTGGGGATGCGGTGTGGGGAATGCTGCCTGGCATAGACTTCACTCTTAATGCTGAAGTCCTGGAGGGGAGCTATTGCAAGTCCTGCCTTCTAAAGCTTTGTGCCACACTACTCCTACATAAACACTATAAACCTGGGGCATTTTTAAACTCTGCACCCATCACCCACTTTCAAAAGGTCAGTCAGACTGACTGTCCTAAGTGATTTTGGAAAAAAACAGACGTAGACGCTTCTATGGATTTTGTTCTTCATGTAGTTTACCAAGGCACTTTAGCATCTCGGGCTAGAGATGCCCCTGCTACGAAAAAGAAATAAAACAGGATGTGCACAGGGAGAGTTACCTCTTGCAGTGTTGGCTGTGATCCATTTTTTCGTACCACAGAGCTTGTAAAGTCAACTTCCCTAAGTACCGGGAGTCTAACAGTCCTTGGGGGGACAGGAACATGATGACACATATTTAGAGAAATGACCAAAACCATAAAGGTGTGACTTCCAATATGTTTCCTCAGAACTGAAGGAAGCTATAAATAAGGGAACCCCTGGCCTCTCCTCTCCAGTGGATGAATGCTCCCACTTAAAGCCCTACAGGTTCATGCATGACAAATGCACTTTATCATATGGCTCTGAGACATATCATATGTCTCTGCAAATTACTGTATCACATGGATAACCCTAGGATACACATGCAAACACATCAGTTAGTTACACTACTACAAAACAGCATGAATCTTGTTGGTTTCTGCTTTTTAAACTCACACATTAGCTTAGACTCAACTCTACCTCCTCCATGTCATGACTAGCAGAGAAGCAGTGAACAGCATGGAGCATATCACCTCTGCTGTGCCCTGCAACAAACAAGCACAATGTGGCACACGGTAAATAACATATTCGGGAGAGAGGGAAAGGGTCAAGTATCTTTAGGTGGAATGACATGATGTTTAGACTGGGGGCGCTTAATATACAACACGTGTTTGCAACTAGTTATCCAAAAAAGCTCACTTGAATACCACATGTATGTCCTGTTGAATTTATACTTGAACGCACCCCAGAGAACATGGGAACTCAGATACAAACCTCTCCCAGGCACAGATTCTGAAATCAAAGAAAGAATGGGGTAAAAAACAGCCTATTTCCTCTGGTACCCCCTTTCTAGAAGAGATTCATTCCAGATGCTTCCAGCTGAGTCTAACCATGTCTCCCCCTCTCCTAAATCCACACTTCATCTCCCCTCTTTATAGTCCATTACTCCTTTGAACAGGGCTTATCAAAGCTTAACATTTGTCTGTCTTATCCAATGTCACTGCTGATGCTCTTCTTGTTACACCAAGGACTACTGTTCATATACTAATGATGTCTGCAAATGTATGGGGCATGGCAAAACAAGCAGACATTAAGCAGCTGCAAGCAGCTTGTTTGGGAAGAACTTCAGCAAAGGCATGGCACGCGTGGGAAAGCTTCACCCTCTCATTGCCCGCGGAAATGCCAATCCAGATTCCCACAGCTTAAATTCTCCTCATGGCTTTGACCTGACCGCCTCCTATTAGCTGGCTGTAGGCATTCAGAAAAGCCTGTGAAATGGGTGATGCTTAGGCCAAGGGACAAGATGAATTTTGGTGTGAGGATCTTAGGCAATTCAACCTAGCGTGTCAAACCGGCAAACATGCTTTAGACTTTTGATCCCATGATGAGACGTTTCAAGTCATGGGATTTCTGTTGCAACCTGTGTTGTAAAAACCATGCACCCTAAAGGGAGAAGTTGCCAGAGGCACACAGAAAAACTAGCCTGTTCTCTAGATGGGTGGATATGGCTGGTTCTCCCTCATGCGCACATAAAGGCCTATTAAGCTAATGCTTCATCCACAGATGAACAGCTATGAAAAACACAGCAACTCTCACCAACTTAAAACATTCTCCTATCTTTTCCTATAGGTAGGAGGAAGCTGTGCATTCTCTCACTTCTACCCTGTCTCCCTTCCCAGAAGGACAGATGGATGCAAGGATAGAAATATTCAAAAAAAAAAAAAAAGCGATCAATTTTCTCAGTGGAACTTGCGCTCTCTCTTGACTCATAGTACCCTGACGTTAGGGGGACTCCCTCACTTGCTTAACCATCATTTTGGCTGCATGCAGCATTGCTCCCAAACAGGAGCAGCTCTCTGCACTAGTGTTCACTTGGCACTCGCTGTTACTCACTGTCACATCCAGTTTGACAGGTATAGCAACAGAAATGAAGCCAATTGCTGGCAGGATACCAGCGCTCCTCTGGTGCCACAGTCACAGCTTTTGTGGTCTGTCCAGTGATTTTTGTTTACTCTGCTGGCTGGGCATCAACATTTCCAGATGAAGAGCTAGGAAGAAACATCCCTGTGGGCAAGTTGTTGCTGACGCTGCAGAAGCCTGGTACTTCCCTGTGAAGCGTCTGATGCTGGCCATTGCTTGACATGGCCTCCCCAGCTAGAGAGCAATTTGTACAAAATGAATTTGCTTTCTCTTGACAAACAATGCTTTGCCGGTTACAGGTCATTTCATATTCAACTTCTTAGCCGACTCCACCATAGTTGCCCCATGTCACTGTGCTTTGGACTCAGCTGTTATTGCTGGTTAGTCCCAAACCAGCAATTCTGCGTGTGAGTGTGCAGGCAGTGCCCTGTGGCAGGTGGCCAGTCACTTGTGAACAGATCTGGGGCAAAGAGGATGCTCCACCGCAGCTGAACTCTGTTCCAGAGAGCCCTTCTTTACAGCTTTGCACTCCAGTATTTCATGCTGAGCTGAACATCCCTCACTCCAATAAACTGTGCTGGTGGAATGGGGAAGGGTAGATGGGCTGTGCAGCACAATGCAAATGCCAGTTCCTTCTGCAGGCTAAGCAAACATATTTTCCTGGACATCCTATTGATGGATATCACCCAAAAAAGCACATTCTAACCCGTATGTACTATACTCTATCCTTGAGGAACAAAATCCTGTCTTTATTTGCCATCAGTGGCAAAATTCCCACAGGATTGCCTAGGCATGGTGTCTTTGTGCACCTTACGTATGTCATCTTTTCTGCTGTTTTATCCGCAGCTCCATTTTTAGGCTGGATGCTATACTCTAAGATTAGCCTGGGACCAGATCCATATCAATAAAACCACACAGAGGGAATAATCTGAAAAACAACAAGGTCTTTTAATCTGTGCAGACTTCAAAGAGCAGCAGCTTTCTCTTTTGAATAAAAGCAATCCAATGTCCTCCTCGTTAAAGAAGAAAAGGCCTCAGCCAGGTATTTTATTAGTATCTGCTGATCTCTTCCTGGGCCTCTCTGCAAGGGCAGGCTTGATTTCTTACAGTAGCAGATCACCAACTCTATGACAATATGGATCTCATTTTAACCCAGATGCTCTCTCATGGACTGCTTCCCCCCACACCCACATCGCAGGCACGTCCCCACTCAATCTTGCCTGTAACATCCACGAGACTGCTACACCAGCCACTTCTCTGCAAACGTAAAGTATCTATTTTTAGAGGGCTTTAAATTGACAAGAAATGCTGACCTCATAAAACTGTGAATCACAGTCTCCCTATTTCATCTTCCCTGCCTTGCACTCTCTCTGTGGAAGCAAACCACCACCATCTGGCTAACAAGATGCTCCAGAGTCACAACCAGGCCCAACTGCTGCATTTTGAGCACCTCTGTTCTTTGTTATATTCCAAAAAGTCCTGCCCAAGCCCATCCCACAGGTCAGATTTGCATTCCCTCACACTGCCAGCCTCGGCAATTTCTCCTCCATGCAGCATAGGGGCGGGGGATGTGGTGACTCACCCAGCCTCCCTAGGCCCCTTACCAACCGTTTTTTGTTTGTTTGTTTGAGTGAATTGTATTGTTGGAGTCTCGTTGCCACATGTGTAACTATACATTTTTTTTTATGGCAACCAGAAGTTCAGTTTTATAAACAGATGCTGTTGTGGCCTCTATTACTCAGCTGGATCAGCGTCAGTCTTTTTTCCAGGCTGCGGTCTCTGTACTGCACACTGAGTCAGACGCAACCCTACAACAGTTTTCTTTGAATCGCTGGTTTCCTCCCAGAGACTCCTGACGCCCTGCCAACAAAACAGGGCGAGGCTTATTAATTTTTTTTCTTCTCCCTCTCTTTAAAGGCAGACTGATTCATAGTAACTCCTTTAAAACAGAGTGGAAAGACACCACCCTTGCACACCACCAGAGGAAACTTAAACCACCACCAGGTCACTCCCCTTCACTACAGCTCTGCACTGCAGGACAACAGCACTGCAGCCCAGCACGCTCCTGCTTCCAGAGGTGCCAGGACCGGCCCCAGTCCACACGGTAAGAGCTTCTCCTGAAAATCCTCAGCGACTTTACTCACTTACTGGCAGCTGATCCTCTAACCCAGCAGCTCCAGCCTGCCTTTCTCCTTTCTGCCTTGCTCCGCCGGCTCTCTGCAACTTAGCATTTGCTCTTGCGAAGGGACGCACCTTATCCTTTCAGTTTTTGCTTTGAAATCCAGCTTCATCACAGGGCAAAGCAATACTGCAAGGTGCTACGGTTGCAATCACAGAGCACAGGCTACTGCAATGTTATTCTTGCCTCCAGGGCATGTGCAGCCTGGGAGACAGGCACCGAAAGCCCAACCTGAGCCAGCTGTGCTGTAGGAGTTGCTACACTCTTTTTCAACGGCATTGTTTATAAAAGTGGGAAAATGTCTCGTTGAAATTAGGGATGCAGGTTCATCATTTCTGGCTTTCGCCTCATATTTTTCTGCACATCTGTTTTTTTTCTCCCCCTCCATCAGCAGTTTGCCAAGCTCTAATTTCAAATAACAGTGATCGTTCGAAGAGAAGTCTGAGCAGCCCTACAGGTGCAGGCATTGGGGTACAACAGAGAGGAGCTCTCTTTTTCTCTTTCCACTGGGGTTCCAGCTCCTGAGGCTGAAGCCAAGCCCCAGTTCTTACTTAACCAATGACATGCAATCACTAGAAATGCATGTGATGCCTTCCTTGGCAGCACAGACCCTGGAGTGGGGAGCACTGAGTTGCGAAGTGAGGGAGAGGGTGGAATTGCTAAGAGCACCATGGGCTGAGGGATTGGGTGTGGGGGAAGGCTCTGATGGAAAGTGTAGGATTGCAGGGACTGGCAATTTTCTCTATTCACCTGCCTTTCTCCATGCAATCTCCCCCTTCCTCCTTCCCCTTTTTCACCAATTCTCTAACTTCATCTGTCTGCTGTGGTTTTTCTCCTGTGGTCATATCCCTGAACTATTTTTCAGGTGTGAGAACGGGAGTGGAGCAAAGCCACTTTATTGACAATAGGCTTTGGCTCCTTTTGCAGAAATCCAGCTCTCCCCTTCACAGTTTCATGGGTCTGAAAGAGATTGTAGAAGTATTGAGCTCAGTCCCACTGGGAATCACTGGGGCTTGGGTTGGTGCTGTGGACAGTTCTATACAAATGGCTGAGAAGCTGAACCGATCTTACCTTGTGGAAGCAGGATGGACTTAGTGACTTCTTGAGGTCCCTTCTGGCCCCTCGGTCATGCAGAGGTGCCTCCTGCCTGAGAAACAGATGTGTTTCAGTGGTAAGGAAGCTGGCTGAGGCAGTGGGCGTTTCCAGGCTAGTTAGCAATAGTTCTGGGCGGAATGCATTTTCGGAAGCTGACTTTTACCATGATTAATAATGAAATCAGTTTCTAAAAAAATTTCTGTGTCCAAGAGCAACTTTCACTCAAAAGCTTTGAATTCCTCAAGGCACCTCTGAGAGCAACTTTGCCCAGGGACTGCCCACTTGACATTTCAGGATGGAGTGGGATTCTTTTCTGAGTAAACATAGAAGAGGGACCTGTGCATGAAAAATGTGAAAACGTGGAGCCCATGAGCTATTGTTCCTATGATAACAGTGTTTTAAGTCAGCTGAATTGCCTCCACTTCCCCCACCCAGCTCACCTCATATAACTGCCAAACCTGGGGACAGTGTGTGCACTGAGAGAGGGTGGGCTTAAAGGCAGCTTATTTCCAGTCACTCCGCTAGGGATCAGCATATGAAAAGCATCAAAACTACAGGGCCTAGAAGCACACCGTGAAACAGGGCTCCTTCATGCTAGGCGAAGCACATGCACATATGGCAGGCTCCCGGGGAAGGCTCCCCCCACAGCTATGACTAACCTCTTAAACATTCAGCATATAGTCTAAGCCATCCACCTAGGCTACCCTCATGTGGGAGCTGGGCATCTTCACCGGGCACGTGCCATCCTGAGGCAGACATCTGAGAGAGATGGAGTTGAGCCGCACCCAAGGAAACACTAAAGGACTAGGGATTTGGGGACCCAGGGAGAAAAACCCAGTTCTAGAGCTGCTGTCTCAAGAGTTGCAGGGTTGCAGTGCTCCCCGCTACCCTCCTGAGGATAGAGAGTGCTGGGCTTGGAAAACCGGCCCTGCTGGCCTAGCTGGTGGTCTTTCAATTTTGCGGCGTGTGAGCAATGCGAGTGCATGCAGGAATTACTGTTTGCTAGCCTGGGGTGGAGCAGAGGTGGTGTTTTGAAACAGCTCTGAGAGATTTGCTGATAATAGCCAGCATTGTTTGGCAAAAGACCCGCCTTGGGGGCCTAGATTATAATGGGGGGGGGGAAGGATTTGCTACAAACATGAATCCTTTTCTCTATTCATAACCTCTCTCCTGCCGGGCTGGCCCATGGCACTCAGCCTGTGCTTGCTTGAGTTTCCTCAGAGCAAAAGTAGGAGGAGTAGTGGGGGTACAGCCTGCTTCCTTAGCTCTGCCTTCTCCCACCGGGCTTCATAAGCCCCATCAGCCCCAGATCACAGACCCATGACACATGTCCCCTCTTGCCCTAGTCCCCTTCGGCTGCAGACCGGTGCTCTCTTCACTGAGCGCTGCAGCTGATGGCAAACAGGGATGGACTTGACTAGTGCCAGATTGGCCTTTGCCCTCAGACCCTCAAGTGCTCCACGAGGCAAAAAGTATCGCTGTTAGACCGCTTGGATCTCAAAGGCATGCCTTTACCCTTCTTCTTTACCCTATGCCTTTACCCTTCAACAGGGAGGTGACAGGACTGCCACCCAATACAGTGCAGGGCAGGCCGCAGGGTGTGGCACTCCAGTGTTTTCCTTCCTCCTGTTCTCATGCAAAATACTAATGAAAACTGACTAAAAAATGAGATTTCTTTACCCTTCCTTCAAGATGAGGAGAACTAAGAGCCCAGAGGCGTTCTTTTACACCTCCAAAGGGAGGATGAGGAAGGGGATTTCCTATCTCCACATAGAGAGGTGGATTCCTTGTACTTCACCAGCGTTTTCTGCAGGCGTAAGCTCTCGCTGACACAAAGCAGCATGCACAGAAAAGGAAGCTATTCTCCATGGCCCTGCTCATTTGACAACTCCTGCTAGGACTGATAAGTGACTGATGGCTAACTGATAGCCACAGCGCTGCAATACTGGCCCTGAATAAATGCGCCTAGCCACCATTTGTCAGCACAAATGTGACTACACTGATCCTTTGTCAGAGCCAGTTCACACCCAGCCATCCCACAGCATGACAAAGGCTCCAGCAGCAATTCCCCAGATAAACTTTCCAGAGGGAAACCTAGAATGCCTCATTTCTTATACTGCTCTCTGCTATTACACTCCCAGAGAGGGCAGCAAAGAAGCACATCTGGGGGCTGCAATGTGGAGCATAATTTCTGCAAACCCTGCCAGGAATGTTTTGGAAAGCACCTCCTGAGTTAGAACAGCTGGACAATGCACAAAGGAAATCCTGGCCAAATCTGCAGCTCCATGCACCCTCCTCCTCTTGAACTGTTTGCAGCAGGCAGAGAGTACATGGAAGCTGCTTTCTCAATAGGACCAAACGCGACCCATGCCTTGTCATGGTAGGGAGGAACAGGCTAGGACAGCTCAGCTCCAAAACTCGCCTTCCCCAAGGGTGTGACGAGCTTGCCAAGCTCATGGTTATGGGGAGACGCCCATGGAGAGAGCCCAGTGATCCTAGGCTAGGTCATCCCCAGCCATGCAGAGAAACGCAGTGAGTTGTGAGCATCGGAGTGGCTGAAGGCAGGTGAGCAGTGACTCATACCTAGGGCTTAGCTATCGCTATGTGAGGCCACCTGGCAATACCTTCAGATTAGAGGAAATCCAGGGTGAGGGCCTTTGCTGCCCTTTTGCTCTTGCAGGGCAGAGTCTGCTCAAGGAGGGGAGTTGTAAAAGCAGCTGCCATGATCCAGTCTAGCGTCCACACTCCTCTCGTTCCTGAGCGACACCTGCTCTAAGGGCCTGAACAAGCCTCTGGAAAAGGCAGGGGGAGCAAGGGGAGCTGTAAGGTGAGCAGCAAAATCTTCAGAGCAGGGTGCAGGCAGGTCAGGGCGTTGCTGAAGGCCAGCTGCAGGAACTGGGCCCACTGCTGAAGGGAAGAAACCCAGCTGTGCAGCTGGCGCAGCTGCTGGCCATGCCTACTTAGAGGGCTGAGGCAGCCCGCCTGCTAGCTGGCCTCCAGCAGCTGCAGCCAGGCCAGCACAGTCTGCCCCATGAGGGGGAATTCTCTGACGTCTTGTGGAAGCCATTTCTGCATATAATGTGAGCTGGAATAACCTTGTTTTACACAGTTCTGCCAGCCCATACTAATCACCGATGTAAACAGCCGTTTCAAAGCCAGATGGAGCATTTTACTACATGACTGCAAAGAGCACAGACCAACTCCAGGCTGCGCAGCATCCTCTTGCTTTTGCTTTACACATAGGAATTAGTCTTTTACTCATGCCCCCTGCCCACCACTCCTGCACTGTGGGTTGAGAGAAGGAACCATCAAACAATTTTGCAATTTAGTCCTGCACAGTCTTTCCCAAGCTGGTTTGCAGGAATGGGACACCCTGGAGGCACAGTGACCCAAAACATCAGACTCTTCATATGCCTAAGTCACGCTGATCTCAGTGTAGCTTGACATGATACAGGCAGGTTGGCAGGTTTTCCAGTCTCTGGGGAAAGGGAGGCTATCTGATGAGGAGCCATTTCTTTTTCAGAATCATCCTCCATTGGAAAAAAGGGAAGATCTGTAGGAAACTGTCTATGCAAATCAGTGATCTGCAGTTTTAATTCACAAATGAAGCTAAAAGCACAGCAAATGTGGGTTCCACAGACCTTCCACCTCTGTCTAAAGGCTAGTGAAAGGGGAAAAAAAGAGTCCCAGCAGAAATGATATGTGAACTTTTGCTCACAGCCCCTTTAACTTTCCTGTCAGAGCTGTCAGCTGGTTTCTCTCATGTGGGCATTGACAGTGTCAAACTCACACAGAGAAATACATGCACCCAGAAAGAAATCATAGGCGAG